AGTCTCAGTATGTGTGAAGGTTTGTCAGTGTTATGTATATATCAGACCCAAAACGCGATGGACTAATATAGCTTAATATTGCATTCATAAAAGATACACTCATAATCACAGACTCAACTATAACTGAAATGCAGCGGTTTATTTGCCAGAGGCGGGCTTATCAGTACACTAAGGCGGTTTTATCAATACTAGGCTCTGACTTTGCAAAACAATCACATTGAGATGTGTTAAATTTCACAAGTACTTACAGCACTTTGAAAATTCATCTTGCACAGTACACAAAGGGCCATAATTCTGTCAAAATTTATGTAAGAGTTATGGGCCTTGAATAATCAAATCCTGTTATGTTTTCAAAAGACATGCAAGTCTTATATTATGATCATATTATGATCTCAAAGTGTTACATCAATGCAAAAAAAAGTTAAGGATAGGTCCACTATTTTTTTAATATAAATGTATGTGCTATAAATATTTGGGGAGTGCTCATTTTGTCACCTTAGTGCAACAACTGGTTTACTCCTATTAAATTTAGAAGAACTTAACGTGTTACTGCACTAAGGTGACCATTTAAGACCATCTTTATTAAACCTTAACATGCAGTTACTACATTGTAATTAGTGATGTTGCCAAAGATGGTAAGACCAATTCCAAGATTATCAGCTTATTAAACTCCCTTTCAATGTGCAATAATTATTGAGTAACTGAAGGAACACATGAAAGTGTATTATTAAAGCAACATATTTGCTGTCTGTGGACTGATTTAAATGATAATAGAATACCTAGAATGGATGAAATATGTCAGTCATTATTTTCAATTGAAAGAGAGTGGGCCATGCTTGAAATTGTTGCCAAACCTATTTAAAATAGCAGCCTTCCGAGAATTTTATTCAGTTTACATAAAATATTCATGTACATCAAATTACATACTTTACATATATTTCAAGACATTACCATAAGGTTATGAGAACAACATAAATTTTACAGTTTTGATTTTTTTTTGTAAAATATTTCCTCAGAAATTGATATACTTTAATAGTTGAAAAGGAAGTGTCTTTCAAAATTTACGCTAAATGAGATTAACTTTTATACATACATTTGTATTGCTTTATACATTTGATTACTTCAAACGTCCATGCATCAAAATGATATACTATTTCTAATGTCAGTGTGCTGGTATGTTAAGTACAAAAATAATTTGATTGCAAACTTCATTAAATATTTAAAATCAATTCATGTAATTCATTTCCACCCGATTCTCATCATATTAACCAGCGTATACTGTTGGAAATAAAATCACCATTATATAACCAACGAAATGAAAAATACCCATTATATAACCAACACGTGTCTACAATAGAGCATTAAAATGGTAGGTAGGTCCTCGGGAGTGTTATGTATCTATCAGAAATACATAAAACGCGGCAATATTTCTGCTTTTTATCAAAAACAGTATATTCACAATGTCATTAAATATTTACACGCAAAATTGAATTGGATTCCATCACAGATCAAGCAATGACGAATACACTAATATCATCAGAAGTTTATATCTGAAATGTCTCACTTTGCCGCCTTTTTTTTTTTGGTCAATCCAATAACGTAATCGAACTTGCAATTAATTACAACATACTGTCATAACACCCGTCCATAATCTCCGAGTCTGCACATTGATTTTTATACGCAGATCTCAATCAACCTGGCTCTACGGAACCATTAAAAGAATGATGAGTTTTCCCCCAGAGGGCAGCACCGTGCAGACATGTCGGCAAAAGTATTAACATATCAACTTAACTCCTACCTTATCTGTCAAAGCAAACTGTCATAAAACACTTACAATTAGTACAAACCTTCAGTGCAAGCTCAATTTTTATTCCAGGCTTGTCATGCTTGGAATCTAGAACAGTAAAATGAGAAAAAGTTGTCATTTGGAACTTGGCAAATAGTTAATCCCCTGCCATAAAAAACTTTTACCTTTGCAGCTTTTACAGTGCACTACCATCCATAACAGATAAGTTGACCTGTTGCGCTTATTTTCGAAGCTAACTGTATTTGTTACCCTAAATTACCTGGGAAAAAAAACAAATATATTCTTAATTCTTGAGTAAGCCTACGAAAGGGATCTTGATATTAAAATACTGATACTGAACAAATCAGACCAGACAGTCATCATTCTTTGGTCACTGGCATGTAGAACATCACGGAAAGGAAGCGGAGTAACTCAGTAAATAAAGAACTTAACTCCATAAGATACCACTTACTAGCAAATATCTGAACACAGGGTTTTTTCCAGGATTTTGGGAACATGACCCATACCAATGGTATTGGAATTTAAGCAATCTTTTGTTAAAAATTGGAAAAAATGCATGACTTAAATTTGCAGTGATTTCATGAATGCAAAGAATCACTGTGTAGGATGGCATCTTAAAACAGTTAAGCTAAAACAGTTAAGCACAATAACAGTGAAGAAGCCCTTAATTTCAAAGAAGTTGTTACTCAATATTTTTATTTTGTAACTTTCAATTGGGAATTATTTCCTGTGGATTGGGATAATAATATACTATTTTCAATTGGGAACATGACCGAATATCAACTCTGTATAAAGTAAGCCCCAAAAAAAAGCCCTAGAGCACACTGCTTCACTATACAATACACAAGACATAAATTTATAGAATGGAACACAGAGGAGAAGCACCTGTTTAAGGCTTAAATGTGTCTTTTAAGACTCATTATACAAAATCACAATTTTGATAAGGACTCGAGTTCCTAAGTTAAAGGCACATTATGCCTCAGAAACTAAAAAATAATTTCATTCTTTAGAGGAAGACCTTGCACTGAATTTGAACTATAACTAAAACAAATTTTTTAAAAAGGACCAAAAAATAAAAAGCTTTTGGGAAGTAAAAATTGAAGCGTTTCTGGGGTGCAGTGGGCCTTGAAGTGTAATTGTTATAAACAAAAAACATCATTTTTATGCACCAGTCCAATCTTGAACCCTGGCCGATATTTCTAGGGAAAACAAAAAGACAAAACAAAGTTATTATCATGGTCATTACTAAAAACACTGTTAAAAATGTTTTCTTGAGATAAATAAGCTGATGCAGTAACGCTAAGTCAATTTAAACAGGCTCGGTTGAGAATATTCTAAATAGGAAAAGTATATTATCCTAGACTAAAATCTATACATCTTACTTAAAACTTAATTCAACTTGATGCTTTAAATTACTCTTTTTGCCCATTTGTATTTACTTTAATATAACAACCTTTTTAGTGTTTCCTATATTTAAATAATGCCCGTATTCCCATGATCTTAAAAGTTATGATTTTTCCATTATACAAACAGACAAAGTGGCTTTCTGTAAATTTAAAAAGAGTACAACAAAATTGAAACTGTAATATCCCCAGAAAATCTATCTATTCCGGAGGGGATATATTTCTACAAGATGTTATTGTCACATCTACACGAAATGGCTCAATCTATTTTATTATGTTTTATATATGATAGGGTATGCAAGTACAACAGTCAAGTACTTATCCAGCCACTGTCAAAACAGGAATGTAACATATTTCGGAGCAACACACCTCAAGATTCATGCTAATTTTCATGAAAATTTTGAATAAGTATCTGAATGTTTAATATTGTGCAGTAACTAAAAGGAAGCAATTTACACATTTTCAATGGCACTTACAACCCCCATAAATTACCAAAAATTGGTCAAAATATGTATAAATAGCCCTTACTGCATTAGAAACGCAGTAGAAATATAGTTGTAAATACTAAAGAAACAGTCATTAATTACACAGAACATGTAAAATATTACTTGAATCTTGAATCTTTTTACTTTCCTACAATTTTAGTACATTTTTCTTAAAATTTGATTTCATTGAAATATTTTGACTCATCTGGAGGCATGTAGCTTTAACTTATACCTACTACCTAGGTGTAACGGTAAGCTATGTGTAGGATATTATGCCTAGGTGTTACATACACCTTGGTGTAACATATACCTGATTTAATATATACCTAAGCGTAAAAGATACCTTGGTATAGGTGTTACATACATCCTGGTGTAACATGTTTAAAGGTGTTACAATATGAACTGAATAGCTTCTCCCACACAAGCTTGAGTAAATTTGTTTATATATTTATATTTCTTTTATTTGTCATCAGGTATTAATGACAACATTATGTTCAATACAGAGAATCAAAGTGCTGCATGCACTGACATATTCACAGATCACTTTGGCTATCTTTTATTTATATATTTTAGGCAAAGTTTTGATGGCGGCATATTTCCAGATTAACTAAAAGTGTAATTTTTGTGGATAAGTTAAATAAATAAAATTGTACACTTGATAATAAAATGTTCACTTGTATAAACAATTTTTAAGTTTTCATACAAAGAGCACAAATCTAGAATAGAGCTGCATACTGCTTTAAGTCACACTAAGAATGTAAAAGCCATATTGCTACTTAATTGGTGGAATTCTATATACTCTTATGTATGATAATTATTATTTTCAGGCATAAGTAGACATCAGAGTAGAACCACCTGCCTTTTATAAGCCAGTGTGATCTTTACATTGACCCAAAGAAGCCCAACCCTCCACTCTGCACATCATCTCAGTACTATTAATGCTTTTGCCAAATAGTTTTAATTTCCTTCCATTGGTTCAAAAGATACAGAGCGGACAAGAATTTTTTATTTATACATAGACTAATTGTGAACTTAACCTTGATCCAAGGAAGCCAAAACCTGGCCATGGTCTCATTGTGTTTAAAATTTCTTTTGATCAGTTAAAAAGATAGGGAGCAGACACAAATCTGCTAGGAAACAGTAGATGACCAGATGCGTAACATTAAACAAAGAATCTTTTTTAGGCATATAAAAGGAGAATGAAGAACTACTTTGCATAACAATGTTAAACGTCACTTTTTGGCCAAGTATCTCGTCCAACAGTTACTGTACAGCAGTATTTACCAATAAAATGCAAAAACTTACTAGTATTCTTTCTTTTTCCTTTCATACAGTATTTGTTGAGTGAGCTATACATCCGAGACAATTCTTTGTGGAACTCTTTCAATGGCACTGAAGTGGTTCTTTCTGAAAATTTTGAAAAATAGATGAAGATCATTTTATATTTCATAGTGGTTTGCAATACCTGTTCGGTTTTTACATTTGGATTCCCAAAAATGTAAAAAATAATCACAACTGTTTATTTTTCAGTCTTTTGAGAATAGGTCTGTCGCCCTTTGAATTGTAAAAATTAGTGCTGTAATGCCTTCATATATAATATTATAGTCCTATTTTATACTGTCAAAATTTGAAAAATTTAAACTAATTTAAATAATGTGACTGAAAATGCTTAGATTCATGATAAACACTTTACAATGTCTAAAAGTTTTATGTTTCTGTTTATTATGTTCAAGACAATTTTTCTCAATAATTTTGAGAGTTGTGAATTTGAATTAAAAAAATGTGGAAAACATTTTTTTTGCTCTATCAATGGGGGCCCTTCTTTGGCCCCAAAAAATGTGTGTAAAAAAATGGCACTGAATCATAAATACAGTAATTAGTAACTGAATTGTCTGGATTGAGAATTACTGAGTTGCTCCATTTGAAATTCACAGTCATTTCAGAATAGAAGGAGATGTGTTACTAATTTATCAAAAGGGCGCCAGTGACTTTGACAATTTTATAGGCTTGACCTTAAGCAACCATGAGGTAATGCTACTGCTAAGTTTGAAGTCTAAGCCCGGCAATTCCCGATGTTGGGGGCCATGGTTACCACTGGATGGTGCATGAGGATACTACATAATTAAAAATTCAAATATTATAATAATACATACTGCTCCACAGCCTTTCTTCATTGACAAACCTTGACCTGCTCCTAAAAAATAACACAAACGCTGCACATAAACTCACTGCATGCCAAAAATTATGTTCTTTAGTATAAAATGTAACAGGTGTTACTATGGAACTTGGCTAATGTTGGTTTTTCCCACCTAATTTTAGGGTACAAATAATTTTGACCATTTTAAGCTTTATGGTGCTTTCACTATTCACAAAAGAGTGATCAATGCATTATTTCACATTGGGACGTCCGTGGCCGAATGGTTAAGGTTGTTGACTTCAAACCACTTGCCCCATACCGCTGTGGGTTCGAATCCCAAAAGGGACTTTGGATTACTTCATGTGAGAAAGTAATCCAGATAGCTTGCAGAACATCGGTGATTCTACTCGGGTGCCTGTTTGTGCCTAAAATAATGCACGAAAGGGTATCTGAGAACTTCTTCCACCAGAAAAGTTGGAACGCCGCCATATGACCTATATTGTGTCAGTGTGACGTAAAACCCAGGCAGAAAAAAAATCAACCAGTATTTGCAGAACAATAGATCCAAATGATTCAAATAGAGACAGAATAATAAATTTTGCATATTAATGGTAGAAAAATATGGAATATAATTATATGTCTTTATAGTTTAATGTTGTTAATGTTTTATTGGGATCAATTACTCCAATTTATTTGTATTGCTAATCTGATCAAAGCTTTAACAAATGTCATAAAATGGGTTAATAGGCACAGATGTTTCTTTCATAAGAAAATTATTAAATTTATGATGCTTTTTAATCTAACAAATATAATTCTGTTCTTAGGCATAATAATTTCCCAGAAAAGGTTTGATTTTTAACCATTAACCCAGTCATTGCATTTAAGATTCTGGATATATTTAGTATTTTTAGAGTTATTGCCCTTGACTTAGAAAATTTAGAAATTTTCAACTTGTGTCGCATGTAACTCAAAAAGTAATTGACCTAGAGTCATGAAACTTTACAGGAATGTTGATCAGCATGTGTAGTTGTGCACCTGGGTATTTTTGTCTCGATATATTCAGTATTTTTAGAGTTATTGCCCTTGACTTAGTAAAATTTTGCAATTTTCAACTTGTGTCGCATGTAACTCAAAAAGTTTTTGACCTAGAGTCATGAAACTTTACAGGAATATTGATCAGCATGTGTAGTTGTGCAACTGGGTATTTTTGTCTGGATTTATTTAGTATTTTTAGAGTTATTGCCCTTGACTTAGAAAATTTTAGCAATTTTCAACTTGTGTCGCATGTAACTCAAAAAGGATTTGACATAGAGTCATTAATCCTTACGGGAAGGTTGCTCAGCATATTTAGTTTTGCACCTGGGGTTTCGCTTTTGGATTTATCCAGTATTTGTAGAGTTATTACCCTTGACTTAGTAAAAACCGTTTCATTATGTTGTTATTTGTTCCTTGAGTGCTTGAGTATGAATCAACCAACTTTACAGGAATAATGATCAACATCACTAAATTACAGGAATAATGATTCACATCACCGTGAAGCTATGCACCTGGAACTTTGCATGTGGATTTTTTTCAGCTTTGTTAGAGTTATTGCCCTTGAATTACAGTAGTATTAATTTGCAAATTTCAACTTGTTCATGCATAGCTCAAAATTATTTCACTTGTAGGCCTGAAAGTTTACAAGTATGTTGGTCAGCATGTGTGCTTATGCACCTTGGGGTTTGCTTGTGTATTTATTCAGTATTTGTAAAGTTCTTGCCCTTTACTTAGTAAAAGATTTTTAGTTTTCAAGAGTCATAAGATTGACAGAACAGTGGCGCGGTGAGGGCACCTGTGTCCTATGGACACATTTCTAGTTTACATAGATCAGCTGGGGCACATAAAACAGATATAAATGCAAAATATAATTAAGCAATATGCTTAGAAAAAACATTGAAAATTGTATTTTTGTGCAATTCTTAACCCGATTTGAGTGATCTCTTTCCAATTTTGAATCATTTTTACAATTAGAATTATAATTCTGGGGGAACGAATAGAGCAATTGATCTGAAATGTTGCATACAAATTATTGGTCTAGACCAACATCAAATTGGATATTAATCTCGAAAAAATAATGTCAAGTAACCTCAGTGGAGTCCCTTCAAGAGCTAAAAGCTTGTGCATGAAATCATCGCTGAACGGTTAAAACTAGTGCTGTTATAATACACTCATGTATTCTGTGCACCAAATATTACAAAAACATATTCATAATTCATCACATAAAGTAAAAGAACCGAATGTTTACAAGTACACTTTCTCAAATACAGTCGAACTTTGTTTGCTCGAACTCGGAGGGCTTGTGCAAATTTGTTTGAGAGATCGGTAGTTCGAGACAACCAAGGTTGAACTATTATTACGTAGGATAGGCCTATAGGTGTTCCAGCTTACATCGGTCAAATAATAAATACGTCAATATAATTGAATGTTAGTACATTTGTTTGTCAAATACATCATTTCCTTCAAACATTTAGAATTATTACCCCAGTGTTTTCAAATGAGTATTGACTGTGCACTTTGTTAATCTATATTCATGCATATTGTAATTAGTTGAGTTCAATTGTTGAACAATGTTCAAAATATATTTATATGTTTTTATGGGATAAATTTTATTTCAACAATGAATTAATAAGATATGGAAAAACCCTTAAACACTTTACAGTACCATCTATTTGTAGTCATCTACTACAAAAAAAACACATATCATTCTGTAATTAAAGCCATCCGGGTAAACGTCATTTATTTTTATTGACTTTTGCACACTTCACTTGTATAATGTGTTATTGTCTTTCTATTGTTACCATAGATGGCAAATAAAGAATATTATCATAACAAACAAATCAGTTACAACACCTTTAATTTTGTATCAATTAACCTAAATTGTCTTTACCACGATCACAAGGTGTTAAAAACATGCGTTGCCGACTGTCAGTTATTCAATATGTCGACCCGGAACTTTTGGTTTTTTTTGTGTTCAACAGAAAAGGTGTAATTTTCACTATATTCCTGCCGAAGGGACCAGAGATCAGGTTCAAGAGTTCGAGCGATCGGTGTTCGAGCCACCCGACGTAGAACAATATACAATGTATATCATATAAGAATTTTGCCGGAACAGGGCGATGAGTTCGAGCGAAGGGAGGTATTTGAGCGTTCCGAGTTTCGATCAAACGAAGTTAAACTGTATGATAATTTGATAAAATCTAAACTGTCAGAGCAGGAAAAAAACTTTAATTCCTATGAATTTGGTATCTCCATGCTTAAGAATAACTGTATGATATATTCAATTGCTACAACATTAGAACATTACTGAAAAGTTTAATATCTTTAAAAACTTATATGAAATGCCATTTACAAATCGTTATAAAGAAACTAAAGTTATATGAGGTGAGTTTTGAATGTTATATTTCCGTCTTTACAACTTCCATGGATATATTTTTGTGTTCAAAGAGTAGGAGCAGAAACTGAATTTCTATTTTTAGTAACAGTGACCTTGACCTTGATCACAGACACATTGGTGGATATCCCAAGCTGCCTCTTGATATAAACTACCCATACACCAAGTTTGGTGTCAAACAGCCTAAGCAAACTCGAAAAGTTATTGAGCAGAAACTAAATTTCTATTTTTTGCATCAGTGACCTTAACCTTGATCACAAACACCTGGGTAGCAATTTCAAGCTGCCTTTTAATATAAGCTACCAATAAACCAAATTTGGTGTTGATAGGCCTCGGCAAACTCAAATTATTGAGCGGAAACTGAATTTCTGTTTTTAGGAACAGTGACCTTGATCACAGACACCTTGGTAGCAATCCCAAGCTGACTCTTGATAAAAGCTACCCACACACCAAGTTTGGTGTCAATAGTCCTTTGTAAACTCAAGTTATTGAGCGGAAACCAAAATTGAAGCCCGCCCGCCAACTTCGGCATTACAATTATAACCCGGTTTTCTTTAAGACCTGGTTAAAAATCTGGTATATTGGCACTGTGTGAAACACATTGAAAATGAAATATTTGTTGCAGATAATGTTGATATAAATAATCAAAGTATCTACCTGTAAGATTTGTCTGTACAGACACTACCGTGTGACTGTGTCCCTTCCCTAATCATTTAAGTAACGGATTGTATCATAAAATGATTGTTTCTTTTTATACTTGAAGTTGCGTTTTAGTGACAAAAACTTTTATTAGTATGCAAGACATTCTACTTAATATTATGCTGTTTATATAGCAGGTACGTTAAAATTTCAATATAAGTTGGTGAGATCTTTGATAGTTGATATATGCTGGTGTTTATTTATTCAGCACTTTCTACACCATCAATAGCTTAAAAGCAAAATATCAAATATTTTATCCACAAAGCTGACATTAGCACAAACAATCACTCCAAACTGATGTAAAATTTATACAAATACATTGCTGCTTTTTGCAGATTGTTTTATCTAAATAAAATACATGTACCTTTAAAACAATCCTTTTGTGGTGAAGAAAGAATGTACATGAAATCAAATCCCTAAAGTATACACAATACTTATGGCCTTAACCCTTAAAGTGCTGGAACCGAAAGTGTTAAGCCTTTGCCACCAGTATAGAGCCAGGCCAGCCTGCACATCCGTGCAGTCTGACCAGGCTCTATACTGTTGGCTGACAAACTTTAAATATTCAAATTGATATCCCTAATATTGATAATGGACAGTCCCAAAAGTGGAAGTGGGACAAGTCTATTTAAAATATTCAGCATGTTAAGGGTTAACTTCCTATAATCAGACTATAAGGATCTTTCAACAGCTCCCGGTACAGACCAGAATATCTAGCACAAGGGAAACTGTTCACAGCAGTTAACAAGCTCTACGAGTTTCCGCTTAACAGTTAACAGTGAGCTAGATATTCTGGTCTGTTACAACATTTTAATCATATTTCAGTAAGAATTTACGAAAAACTAATATTTTCATTTAGCATATTTTTCCTTTTTAGTACAGAATATATTTACAACTTCATTCATAACGGCAAATTGATGTCATTCTAAGAACCCAATTCATTCGAAGACACCCGGAATGACATCATTTTAAAGCACGCAACTTGTCTTACAAGGGGGTGTAAGACAGGTTTTCCTAGCAGTAATGTAAACGGTAGATAATCATGCCATATGCAAGAAAATTCAAATGTTCTACATATAATAATAATTATAATAATAATAATAAAATTAAAAAAAAAAAAAATAATATCTTTATTTAAAGAAGGTTACACATTAAGAAAATACAATAGCAATCATATATAACTTATTTCCAATGTGGCCTTCTGAAATAGAAAACAACAACAACAGAATATGCATAGGTAGAAAAATGAATGTATAATATATAATTTTTAGAATAAGACAACTCATATACTTTCGACAGACACTCAACAATTTGTATATACGTATATTGCATCATTCGTTCGTTCATTTGTTCGTTTCATTCGTTCATTCATTAAACATCAAGATATGTTTTGTATTTTTCTATATGAATACCTTTTATTACCAGTTAATATCGCCAGTTATATCCAGTTAGTATCGCCAGTTATATCAAACTTGGTGAACCTCTGTTTGTATTCCAGCACATTTTTCCTCATCATCTATGTCTAGTAAAATCTTCTGATGGTAACTGGTAACTGAAAACAAATTAATGCCGTATTTCATAATTCAACCATACAATATTAATCATAAAACGAGACGAAAATGTTCACATTGGGTTAATGATCTTGTTATTTGTCAATAATGTCTAAACTGTTTGATTAATTCTTCGGCTCATATTAAAAGTTAACACAGATACTACAATATTATCTAATGTCCTTGATAATGGGAGCTTAACTCACTTCTGGCTCAGGTCGTTCACCACTTAATAATATTCTCCGAACATACTTAAATCGAAAAAAAAAAGAACTCTTTTAAAGGCAATGTTCTATCTTAAATATCATCTATAGAGATGTTATAGAACTAGGCAAATGTAGGTTTTTCCCACCTAATGACGGGGCACAAAGAACAGTGTACTTTTTTACAACAACAAAAAATTGTACAAGAACAAGGTTAAAATTCGAAAAAAGAAAAATTGTGAGCACTTGAAAAATGTTGCCTGCTTCTAAATCTTCATCAAAAGTTTATTTTGAAAAACAAGAGTTATGTTCATAAGGTGGCAGGTAAGGTCCCCAGGGTTACACGTTTAAACGGGTTCGTTTCGATTTTCATTTGTAAATGTTAACGATATATTTTACCGTTCAATTGAAATGACCATATTGTCTTACAAAATATCTTAATCATTGCCTGCAATCATGAATTCTATCAATTCTAATTGATTTATTCCAAAGTCAAAAACTAAAAAATGGGTGTTTACAACCCTAAAATAATATTAAGCTTTTGACATAATACATTTTTGGTAAAGTTGATTTTCCTTTGATCTTTCAAAAGTGCAAAATGGGGATACAATGCAGAAAATGTGTGCTGACTCAATCATGATGTCAGATCCCTGAAAATTACTTGTTTGTACATGTATTAAAAATAGAAAGTAAGTCATCATTTGGCGACTCGAATAAATGGTGTAGTATAGGTCATAGAAGTACCACTGTTTAAACGGACTATCGTTTCAGTTCTTAACAATTGTGTAAACGTAATTACAAAAAAATTGTAAACGTGGGAGCCATAGTGATGAGTGCCTGCAAAGAAATTGGATTAACCTGTACCTTACTGGACAAGTCTGACTTCTATTACTTTAGACTATCCAATATCATTTTTAGGAATATCAAAAATGAGATTTCAAGTTGGTCAGACTGCAAGGATATGCAGAATGGCCTGGCTCTATACTGATGACAAAGGCTGATCACTTTGGGTTCCATCAAGGTAAAGGTTGCGCCGGCTCTGTAAGGTTGAATAATTACACTTGCCTTCAGCTTACAATCACTCTACCAGTATTCATAGTGCTTTAATTATTCAAGTACACTGGCAATAGACTGGTGATAATCTTACAATATCCTAGACAGTGATTTTACATAGCAAAGTCTACAAGTCTATCCTCATTGTATAATGTAACAGAACCAGATGCTAGCTGTATTCAAATTTCTGTTAAACAGAAACAATAAATTTGCATTAGCCGTTCATTAGTTTCCGTCACACCATAATTTTGCTTTGTATTACAAAGAATCAATGACAAAACAGCGACAGAACTGGTTTCTTTATTGATTCCTATAAGAATATGCTCGTGGAATAACATGTTCGTACAAACAATATTACAGAAGAAATTTATTCACAAAACCAATTATTACTGATCAAATTGGAAATATTATACAACATCTGATTAAAACGGAGACCGCATAAAGATTAAAAGCTACTGAGATATAAAACCTACGACTACAACATTAATTTTTCCAGTCATATTCCATGCAATTTGAGTAAATTATCTAACCATTTTGATAGAAGAATAACGGACATCTAGTAATTATTTGCAGACAGTAAAAGCATCAAAGGTTCGCTAAATACCAGTTGTTCATCAAATTTTGCTAAGTCATAGTTAATTAACTTAGCACAGAAGCAGGAGAATTCTCAGTTGTATAAAAACCCATACAACTCTTTATCAAAGTGACCTTCTCTTTATTGAATATCAATCTCTCAAACAACAATGTTTTCCTTGCACTTTGATATTTATACATAAAACTGCAATATAGCTTATTTCAGGCAGAAATAGGAATGAAAGCAGTAACTTCTTTTGTGTGTATTGTTTACAATTATTTGTATTGTATGTCTGCCATTCTTAACATGTTTACTTTGTAAATGGGGGAAAGACAGTAGTTTTGTGGATGTGTTAATTTGTAGTGTTTAAACTTACAGTCTGCTGCAGTGTTTCTGCCAGACTAGATTTTTTGGGGGTCATTTGTGACCCTCTGTATAAAGATAGGGGGGTCATTTGAAATGATTAAGGTTCAACTTTTAAAAAAGTAAAAATTACAGAAGTAAATCTAAGATGTTAACTTCAATTTTTCACTTTTTGCGGATGCAAACAAAAAATCTTTTAAGGAAGAACCAAGTCTTATTTGCATGAAAACATTTAACCTGTCATACGTCTGTTATTGCAGAAACTTTGATATTTTTGGCCACTAAAGCAGAGATGTAGATAACATTGTTACCTATGTCACTGACTTATTAAAAGCCCCTATCTTTTGTGGTTTGCTTGCCATAATGTGATAAATTGTCTACATGCACAAATTGCTCGTGTAAAACCCTCGTTTACACCCTGACAGTGCATGTCTAAATCCCGCATACCGTTACTGATTGTAGAACGGTTAAATGTTGTGCCGATAATGACACACAATAGGTTAACAACTTATATATACCCGCAGTTACCGAAATAAATAAATTTCGGATGGCCCGGCATTTCGGATACTCAAACAATAATTGCTGTTTTTAACAGGATGGCGCTTATCATAGGAGAAATAACTTAATGAAAATGCATCTAATTACATGTAAGGCAGATTATCACTGCGTCATAGAAAATGCGCTTTGCTTTTCCAATGCGTCATTCGTGAAATTATTGAAGTCAAAAACACAAGAATCGCAGAGTAGCGGAAACACTGCTGCTGGCAGCATTAGATTCATCCCATGTGCAACCAGTCCAGACCAAGATAAGCCCACAAGGCTACCCAGCAGATCTGTGACGTCTGATCATGGTCTGCACAGCTTGCTCTTCCAGTCAGTACAAATTTTGAAGTTTTCCCTTAGGATGATGAATAGTTTTGTTCAAACTGAAAGATGGACAAGTCCATTGACGATATTCCAATACAATAAGTATCGGAATATGTATCAGAATAAATAATTATGATAATATTTTAAACATTGACATTGCTAATGTTGTTTTAGCCCAATCCATTTGCACTATATCTCTTTGTGAATATTTCTTTTGTATACCTTACATGTATTTATGTACAGAATAGTTGCAATAAAATATAACAAGGAAGTCAAAGGGCGGGACCCACAAAACGAGCCCGGCTTTGGCTTGCCTCGACCTTAGACTACATATGTAATGTATAAATTATTTAAAAGGAAATCAAATAAAAAGAACCAATTAAAAAGTATATAGAATTCTTTACCTATCAGTGAAATTTTCAGTATCATTCTAGTGGGGTACACCTATTTTTAATGTAACTTAATGATAAACTTAACATTGTATAAACATATTTATTTAAGTTTGATTGCGAAACAAGTTCTTGCGACTTATATTAACTACTTTGGAGTCCGCTTCCTGGAACCAACCAGTACAGGTGTCATGACGAAACATGGTTGTGACCCGATTAGGGCTCCAACCCATGAGCCATGGGTTGAGAGACAGACACATTAACCACTAGGCCACCACTCCTCTTAAAAATTCATCAGCAGTCCTTCTGGATTCAAACAAGGCAAGGGACCAACTCTTTTTTATTCATAAAGCAATAAACTCCTTAGTAGTGTTAGGGTCCAAGAACAGATTCAAGATCATTTCAATAAGTTTATAGCTTTCATCAGGATCAAAATCCTGAAGGCCATGACAGTCATGATTCAAATAATCATTTCCGGTTTACCTGAATATATTACAATTTCATTGAAAATTGTTTTATTTCTGGTCAATCTTTCCCAAGTTTCATAAATTCATAGACAAAAATATCGGCGTTTTTAAATTTACCCGCGTTTCAGACTTAACAATTTAATTCACCTTTTATCACTTACACTTTATCACCTTCCTGTTGGGTGGTTCATAAGATGCTAGATCTACTAACATGTTTATCAGAAAAAAATTGTCGCATTACAAATTATGTCAAAATGAATCAGATAAATGTACCTGTGCATGAAGTGATCCACAAATACAAAACGAATGGTCTGCATCGTAAAGGCTGCCATTCGTTCTGTTCTGTTCACCATGAATAAAATATTTCTCATACGTACTGTATCCGTATACATTCATTCTCAGTAATTATGGGTCAATATGCAATACTCACACAACGTTGGTCTGTAACATATTTATTTCATAAATTTTCAACAACTAGATCAATAGGCAACTTTACTGTATAATGAGATCTTACACATTCCTCTAATGTGTCATTGCTTTAATTGAAGCCTTTCTTCCTACAAGTTATTTATGTTTTTCTACAATGCCACAAAAGACTTTTTTAAAGCCATGGTATGTACATGTATATATTATTGTAAAAATCTGGAAAAGGGGTGATCCCTCAAAAGCAAAAGCAATGAAAACTGGTTTGATCGAGTCTGTTCATGAGAGATAATGGAATAATGCAACATCCTGCACACCCCTAGCACCAACTGAACTTCAACACCTTACACTGTTTACATGCTGCTTGCAGGCGAAAATATCGTTTAACTAGTATGTATGAAATATATGATTTAACAATAAATCGATCCTTGATAAATTGGTCTGGAAAATAAAAGTGATTTCGCCATGAATAAAAAGACCAGTTTATGCACCAAACCACTTTGATAATTTTGTCTTTCATTACATTTTAGTTCGATAATTTTCCCTTGAGTTTTCTCTTGTATATTTTACGTGTGTTCGAATGCATGCTGACACATTCGCGGTAACGCAGTCTATTCACCGTATTTTGTTCTTGTTGTGTTTGTTGTTGTGTTTACGTCCCACCAACACAATACAGGTCACATGGCGACTTTAGCTGCCCCTCCGTGCATTATTTCATGCACTGTATTTTAAAACTAATTGTATTGCAAAAAAGAACAAACAAAAAAAAGATAAAAAGGTATCTCAATTGTTTGCGATGGATACAGAGGAGCTTCGTGAATTATGATGAAACAAGTTATATACTGCAAGAAATAAGTGCTTATATTTTCTTTTATTTTGGCAAAATGATAGACACGCTGTCATTCCTCCGCCATACTGGTGATATTTTCTGTCTGTAAATGGAGTGTTCAATCATAATTGCATGAACTACAGCAATGATAACTATTCATTTACAAGTCACAAATGTCAGTTCTTGCGGAAAGAGTTGGAAATATAAGTTGTTTTGACACTTTGTTATAGAAACAGACGTTTTTACAAGTTAATATTACAATGCAATACAATAATATACAATCCAATCCTATGAGATTTTATTGTGTTGAGTATAATACTGAATTCATTTGGACGAGTACACAGCTGTAAAATATTTCATATTCATTTAGGAATCATTGCAATAACAAATTATTCTTGTCGTCGACATGTCTTTATCCTTTTTTGTACTTCAGTTGCATTTTATATTTAACTGGAAATTATAACGGTTTAAGTAAATTTTTTATGATTTTGAAATTAAGATATTTTTTCCCTGATGGAATGCCAAAAACCACCTGCCAAGGGACGCGGTAGTTCTGGTTTATTTCAAGCTGAAGCACAACAAACAAAAATTTATGGTCCGTGCCTGTCTCGTTATCACTGGCAACAATTTATATATGGATTATACATTTTGTTCTCCTTTTTTACACATTCATAACCATTTTTGATGTTTTGTCGTCGCTCTTGATTTTTCTATGGTTTAAAAAATTGTATATACATGTAGTTCCGGTGCTGTTTTTGACACCCCGTTTCCACAAAGTACGTCAAAGAAAGATGTGTGTAGGAACCCATAGTTTCAATTTTTACTGATGGTGTCCGATGGCAATGTCTTGATCTAATTTGTATTCATATGACATTAAAAAAGAAGAAATGGGTAAGTCTTTGCAAATTGCGCACTACTTAAGGTGGATTGGTCTAAATTTAAATGGGCACATTTTCAATAAATACATGTATTTCAAATATTGATAAAAATAATAGAAATGTATCATTTTGATATTCTTACAAAATTTGTCTAGAAAAAAATGACGATCGATTTAAATATTAAAATTGACTACCGTTCAAGCCGGTGCTAGGGGGCGTGAGGGATGATGCACTCAATCAAACAAAATGTACAGACTCAATCAAACCTAGTCTGTAGTTTTTATGTAATTTTGTTGTGATAAATGCTTCCGAGGTATCACCCTTCTTCCAGGTTTCTAAGTGATTTAGTATTCATGAACATTAATATAATGAATAATGATATTTTGATCTTAAACAATTTATTATCTGCTATGTGAAGTTACGCCCATATCAGAATATGCATCAACAACATTCATATGAATCCTGCATGTGCGGTTGTGTGTGTGTGTGTGTGTGTGCGTGCGTGCGTGCGTGCGTGTGTGTGTGTGTGTCACATGTAATACTATCAATATACATATAATTATCTATGTTATTACATATCTTAGTTATGGACCAAGCCACTTCAAAGAGTAAACACGTGCTCAAGCAAGACAACTCGTACATGTTTCGTATGTTGTTATGAACGACTTGTCTTACATTGTAGGACTGGAAGAGAACTTTGCCATTTTTTTTCTTAAACAATGTGCTAAACTATCTTCCAGCTGGGTTACTTCTTTCATTTCTATATTCAAATAAACAAATTACGAGAAAGTCGTGAATCATGTAAACTGTTAATGATTTATTTATACTTTAGGACTTAAAACATACTGTTGAACATTATAAAGTATACGAAATTTATGAAATAGGTGACCAGGTCTAATACATTGTAGATGAAAAAATGTTAATATGATTCGGTTCACCGCAAAGGTTACTGTATAATGCATGTGTAAATTTAGATATTCGATTTCCCGACATTGAAACGTTTTCAAAAATATCTGGAATGAACTTCACACGTCTACCAAGGCTGGGCAACCACTTCAGTTTGCAAACAAAAGGCGCTATCTTGGAAGGCAAATATATGTTTTTGTCAAATACTTTTCTGGTGGAAATTTTTTAACACGCTCCCTATTTCTCTTCTTCATTTTGACACGGCTTACATGTAAATTAAAGCCGTGATTTTGAGTGTGTAACTTACAAATGATAATCTATTTAAAACGCAAAAGTTATAGCAAACTGGAAGCTAGAGTCGGACTGGATTTTGCTTATGTTTGACGCTTACGACGCAGTTGATCTTTCTTTATCCGTAGCTTTTACTCAACTTTTTTTTTAAAAATAAATGATAAGTTGAACATTTTTATGCCAAAGTCTCGTTCAAATCAGACATACTTTAATCAAGAAAAAAAAAACTATTGCTAAATGATATGAAGCAGAAAAATATATGTGGTACGAAGCAATTGACACATTTTGACTGACCTTTATATAGGTTTAACTTGACCATTGTATGTGCATACTCGTATTTTATCAATCTTGTCAAACAAATTCTTGCATAATAATTCAGGCGCACGTGATGTATAATTTCATATACACAATATGCATACATTAAAGCTAATGCTTATTTTATATTTGTGCATATATACACATGTAAAATATAACTGAATTATTAAGATGTATGTTAATTCATTGCGTTTAATTTCTTTTGACTGTAGGACTAAATGGATTTTAAAGTAGACAGGTGTTTCACCAGGCCAGACTTATTTTCTAAGCAATAAAACCTATTTGCATTGTCTTTGTCTTTGAAAAAAACAATGCTTTTCTAAAGTCAGGTGCAGGGATTAAGATTTTTTATCAATTATTCTTTATAAGTAGATCTATATTATATCTTAAATGAGTGTCTGCTTGTGAATCCAATTTGGCATACCTTTTACGACACAGTTACCTCTATTAGGTCCAAAATGCACTTCATAGTTGCAGTCAACATCTTATGATAAAGTAATCTATTCACCCCCTTTATAAATTGCACAAAGGGAGAACAAATATTAAAATCACTAGTGTATGATTTTAAGCATCAGGTCTGAGTAATTTGCGATTGAATAATGTTTCTTTTGATTTGCTTTAAAATGTAAAAAACTATATACATTTATCTGCTGTCTGTAGTTAACAAATTCAATTATTGTTTGAATTTTGAAACAGAACTATGTTTGTACTTAAAATAGCTGCATAATTTTTTTCGAGACATTTCATTCTGAGTACATAATACTGTATGCATGAGAAACATTGTATTTTATAACTCTTTTGAGAATCGACCAAAACATTATAGAAACAACATAATTTTACCGTTGATAGATTTATAAAAAAAGTAATTCATCGGATACAGCTTTAAACACCTTTAAGGTTAAAGAACGTGCCTCCAGATCTTTGTCAGTTTAACACATTAATTTCCTTGTACATAAATTTTGTATATTTACAAGTAGTGTTTCAGTTGGTTTAAGGTGTAGAAATGGTTTGTTCAAACTGTTTGTGAAATAAACAAACGTAGTCAAATTATAAAACAAGTTCAGTGATATTTCTACTGTTTATTGCTCAATTTTGTACCGGACATATACAAAAGTTGATGACAAAACATTTCAAACTATTTGACTTTTAAAGGGCATGTATATGTTTTAGATAGGCTTGCCTCTCTCTCATGGAGTGTGCAAACGAGATATGTATTTTTGATTTACAGAACATTTGGAATAAGGTCTAAATAGTAAATGACCTGTGAGCAGGAATTATTTGGCAAGGTATCCGTCATGATCGCATTTTTGCGATGAGCTTCTCAATTGCTGCATTGCAGCAACATTTATACTTGTAAAGTTGTAGTTTGGGATGAATTTCAATGCCACGATTTACGAAATTTTCTTGCACCTCTTGTTGTAAACGTCTTTATGATAATAAAAGACTGTATTAACTTCATGAAATCTATTAATCTGGATAATAGTGATCCACCGGAAGCATTAATTTCAACAAAATTACATGAAAATTGCAGACTCGGTTTTATTGAGTCTGTTCATGAGGGATAATGCAAAATTGCAACACCCCTCACGCCCCCTAGCACCGGCTTGAGCGATACCCAATTTTCAACACTTAAAGTGCCGGAATCAATGATCCCGAACACTGCATTAAACTGTAAAGATATATTCACTAATTTAAAATATATTTATTTTACAATAAGCTT